GGCAAAAAATCTTGCATCCATCACCCCCTCCGTGTTATAACCCTTCAACTTACCTCTAATTCTGATCCCTTGCCAACGGTGCTCCATGAATTTTAATAACTTGGACTCCAAGTCGCAGATTCTTTTGTTAAACTCAGTTAATTGAGGTTCGTCCGCCGATTTCTCTTCTTGTTCTTGAAGTTGGTGGAGTTGTTTTTGCAGATCAAATTCCTCACGATGGCGTTGCTCAGCAAGCATTTTTGAATATTCGTTGCATTTACGTCCCAAAAACATTAGGTCGTTGTTGAACCATTGTATGTCGTCCCTAATTTGCTCCCTCTGCTCTCTCCAGAAGGACCAAACATCTTGTAGATATACTTTGAAGCGATCAATGCTCAAGAGGGATGTATTTAACTTATAGAAGCCTCTACCTTGATCCGGCTTTTTCCTGAAAGAAAGTAGTACTGCAATCATAGCGTGATCAAGGCTAGGGAAGACATTTCGAGGGAAGATCTTTGCTAATTGAAGAGCTCCTTCTAGTTCTTCTGATAGAAGTATGAGATCAATGCGAGATTTGGATGCATTCATTGTTTGGCTCTTCCTAAAACAAGTGAATTTACGTTTTACCGGAAAAAGACGTCTGTATGCATCAAAGAGGTTGAGAGACTGCCATAGTCCTTCAATTATAATGATTGGCTCATTTCATATGCGACACTGCTGATAACGCAAAATATGTGCCCCTTGTGACCCAAAAAATCATGTCTAATTTGTGATTTTGCGAGAATACTTGATAGTGTGAGTATGCCCTGAGTTTGGCCCTGGTAAACCACTTAGATCACCAGTACCTACCACATTTTTCGTACCCCCCTGCCTCAAATGAATTTGGATTGGAGGGGCAGGCCGATTTGGCTTCTGCATTAACGGCCGCCTCAGCCGGTAGGTACTGGTGGTTTAATTGGCCTGAGATGGTCTCTTCCATGTAAGTGCTTCAACGACGTGGTACTTACTGTGTCCGGTAGATTTCCAGTGGCTCTCAACATTTGATAGGTGGCCTTAACTTCAAGGTTGAATAGCTGTCTGCTCCTGTTTTAGCTGGTTGTGCCTCGGATTGCTCACTGCCAGCACACGTGGTCTATAGCCAAACCGGTAATAGGCATGTTGGGCTGAAAGGCAATCCACTGGTCCTTATCATGCAATAGCAGCAATATGCTTATTCGGTAGACATTGCCTTGAGCCAGCCACCTCACCTCCTTCTGGGAAAACCCTAGGTACGACGTTACTCTGTTTCTGTTGATGAAGTTCACCAAGACTTCATTTGTTCTGGTTTCCAAAATATTGCCAATCCTCCCCGTCACTCTCCTCCAGGGTGGGCCCCTTTCAGAGTATTACCACCCAGGCTAGTGGTTTGGAAATCCAAGTTTTCTCCACTTTTATAGTAGTACCTCAGTGATGTGCACATCTGCTGCTCCAGCTTCCAGTCCCCCTTTGCTTGTTTCCAAAGATCCCCCACCCCTAAGATTCTGTTTGCGCTCCAAGAAGGACGAAGCCTCAATGTCACTGCAGCATAGTCTGTATGACCACAGGGGTCTGTGCTCTGGGATACAAGGGTTTAGGGGCTGGGATTCCGAAAGGAGATGGATGGATATTGCCACCCTTGTCACCAATCAACAATACATTCAACAACTCAGGAACGAGCAGGGGTGGTGAACGCTGATATGTACAGTCAAAAGTCACGGCTGTCACAGCCTACAAATGTGAGGGTTCAGTGCTGGGCAATCAAAGGCAATCAATGCCAATCAAGGGCACCCAAGGGTGTAGAGTCTAGGGGTTTAGAATCCAAAGGGAGGAGGATGAATGTGGCCACCCTCGACATCCCCCAACTTACAATGAATGAAAGGGGGAGTAGCTAGCGTCCCATTGAATATTAGAGGCGGTCTGTTCTCAGACTGAAGAGGTGATCCCCCCGTGTGTTCCAATTGGTCCCCAACTGGTCCCTGTTTTCTCAATGTACAACTGTATAAAGGGACGCTGGGCCCGTTTCCCGGCAGGGAGCTCCCCACCAATAGATGGAGCCTCCTCCTAGGAAGTTTGAAGTGTCTGCTCCTACCAGCGCCTCATCCCTGGTTTGTTTGTTAAAAAAAAAAAAAAAAAAAAAAAAAAGATTCTGTTTTTGGTCATCCTCTCCATCAGTGATCTAAGGTTTGGAAGACCCTGCCCTGAAGGTCAGTTATCCATCTGCTTCCAAACAGCGGTTGCCTGTAGATCTCCTCCCATCTCATAGGGGCCACTTTGTGAGGCAGGGAGAGTTTCTTCCACGTTTTGATCACGTTCACTGAGAAGTCATCACGGAGGAGGTCCCACCGAGTACTCTATCGGATTCCGCCTTTGGCTTCATTGGCTTTCATGGGATTGCCCAATATCTTCCAGCCATGCAAATGGACTTACTGTTGGTGGGGGTTGAGGGGCAAGCCTGAAAGAGCCCTCCACAAAACGCGCCGAGAGAGGATCGGTCGCTTCGCGCATTGAATCCAGAGGGCCCTTGGCCTGGATCACTAGGTCAATAATTCCCAACCTCCCCCCTTGTCTTAGATTGCATGTTGATACCCAGACGACCCGGCTACGCGCATTGAATCGAGAGGGCCCTTGGCCTGGATCACAAGGTCAATAATACCCAGTCCCCCCTTGTCTTAGCTTGTATATTGACTCCCAGACGACCCGACTAATGTTTTTGTAACGTTCTTGTACTCGTGATTGCTTCTCCATAGAAATGTGATGATTTGTCTTCTGACTGACTTGACTGCTATTAACAGCCCAAGGCTGGTTTCTACCATAGTGAGGCTAGCTAGCACCACATTATTGATGACTAGGGTCTTCCCTGAGAGTGATGTGTGCTTATTCTTCCATTGGGCCAGTTTTTCCAGTACTGTATTGGTAAACCAATCATCCGTGGATGCCTGCCTTTCTTGGGCAGATATAGAGACTCCTAAAACTTTTGGTCGGGAATTCTGAGGGCATCTACTTAATTCTACGTGTTTATGGAGGCCCTCCCCCCTGATAGTGGATCCACCAATATAGAGTCTTGTTCTGCCAGTTAACAGGCATACCGGATACCCTGCGAAACCAATCCATCAGCCTGTTCATCTCTTTCATATTCTCTACAGAGGCATCCACCATCAGTGTCAGGTCATCTGTGAACGAGAGCAAATGGGGATGGCCTCTTCCGGGATAGAAGAGCCACTTGGCCTTCATTATTTACAGGCTCTCTCTCAGTTCATGGAGCAAATGGGGATAGCCACATCGGGGATGGAAGAGCCCGTTCGTGTTCATTATTTACAGGCTATCTCTCAGTCCATGCAGGTGGGTGAGACGCCCATGGTATGAGTATGCCTGGTCCTGGGAAAAGGTTTGCGGTTTTGCGCTTACTTGTTTTGTTTTGCTTTTTTTGTTTTCTTGTTTTTGTCCATGCCCATGGGAAAATGTTTGCCCTTCTTTTGTAATGTTTCTGTCCCTGGTCATGAGAGAAGTTTTGGCATGTGTAAGGATGGACTCGCGGTGTTTCTTTTCAGCAGTGGAACGCCCACTCACACTTTCCTTTTTGGTCAAATGGTGTTTCGGTAAAAAATCAAGCTTCAGATTTTAATAAGCTCAACAAACTTATTTCAGCAGTCACAATGCGGGTATGAGTTTCAAAATGCAATAAACGCTCCAGGCAGGCAGTTTTGTCAACTGCTGGGGGAAAAAAAAAAAAAGGTGTTCAGTTGGGAGTGGGGCACAAACGGTCCTCTGCTCAGTTAATCCCCTGATCTGACAGGGCAATCAATGCTGGCAGACAACTTACAAGACGTTTCTGGTTTTTACACATAAGCCTGCTCAGTCAATCCCCTGATTTTGCAGGGTAATCAATGCTGGCAGGATCCACGGCCACTCACTCATACCCTGGATATTCCAAATCACTCCTTTCATGTGAAATGGGACGCTGGACCCGATTTCCAGCAGGTGACGCTCCCCACCAATAGATGGAGCCTCTCCGCCGGTGGTAGTGCTGTCTGCTCTTACCAGCAGCACTAACACTGGAAGGGGTGTTTTAATTAAAAAAAAAAAAGAAAAAAAAAAAGGGGCACAAACGGTCCACTTCGTTTGGTACGCCCATGAACCTGAGTTTGAATCCCGATGGAACTACATTGGAACAATGTAGTTGAATCCCGATGGAACTACATTGGAACAATGTAGTTTTGAATTATCTCGAGGCTTGGGATGGTCAGTTAAACGAGGACATCTGCATTCCTCGTTTGAATGGTGAAAATTATGCCATGCCATTTGCAATGCTGGTGCCGCCCGTAGGGCTCGTTTGTCCCGTTGCACTGTTCTTTGGTGCTACACTGCTGGCTGTTTCATCCAAGCACTGTCCGCAGTTCGTCCACCCACGTCTCCAACCTCCTGATATAACCCTGCTCCGTCCTCTCCCGTACGTATGTTTTAGGACTGAGAGAGTAAAGATGAAGCACCCCAATCTGACGCCCCATGTCCACCTTCACTGCTTTCCCCCGTCTGATTTCCCATGTACTCTTTTGTTATAAACCGCATTCCATACACCAATCTCCTCGCAAGTTTGAATGTTTTCGGTGTCGCAGACTTCGTCCTTCGCCGCAACATTGGATATTAGTTTATCTTGATGTGGATGGCTCAGTTCCTGGAGAAAAGCAGCTCCTGCCAGATCACAACACCAAGGGATAAAAGCAGCTTCAAGTGGGTCGATGGTTTGCACTCCCCCACAGGGGGAATAAGACCAAAGTGTGTGTGCTAAATGTGAAAGTATGGGCCTGCTATGTCTTTGTGGCTGCAGTTTGTGTACAATGGCGGAGGAAAGAATCCATATATACCTTTCATTCATGCACCATGTTACCAGTGGGTGGGGTGCCTGTGGAACGTATCATGTAAATAAGCCAAGCCTGATCCTGGATAAGACCAAAAGAGTGTGCTAAATGTGAAACTATGGGCCTGCTCTGTCTCTGTGTCTGCAGTGTACGAGTACAATGGCGTTGGAAAGAATCCATATATACCTTTCTTTCATGCACCATATTACCAGTGGGTGGGGCGGCCACGGAATGTATCATGTACGTAAGCCAAGCCGGATCTTCCTTCTTCTTCTTCTCCTTCTCCTTCTCCTTCTTCTCCTTCTCCTTCTTCTCCTTCTTCTTCTCCTTCTTCTTCTCCTTCTTTTCCTTCTTCTTTTTTTCTTCTTCTTCTTTTGTTTTTCTCTGTGAATTTGAAGTCTGAACCCAGTCAGGTGCTCATTCATTTTCCAATGCCCGAATTTTACTCTCAAAACTACTCGTGCTGAGCCAGTTTTGATCGAAGTGTCCCACTTTTTCCCATTTGCATGCACACACAAAACTGGTGTCACAGAAACATCCTCGTAACAAAATTACGATTCTGAATGTATGCTATGGAATTGTAACAAAAGCTAGAGCTTCTGCTAATGGTCTTGGAAATATGGATGTAAATACTAAATTTTTAGTAAATTGGTATTTGTGAGGATGGTAAAGAGAACCTTGTATCAATATGGAATGATAGATCGCCGTAGCAAGATCTTTAAGCATTCGACCATGATGGTAATTACTAATTTATCCTTGTTGTCCACAGGAAAGCAATACTGCACTGAAGGTTTGAACTCTGAATAGACATGTTAATTATGGGTATAGCTTCCCTGAAAGTTGAAAGCTTTTTTTTTTTTTTTTTTTTTTTTTTTTTTAATAGGAACGAAACTCCAATCTATTCGTGGGGAGCAGAAGCGGGCCCAGCGACCCTCATGAAAGTGTACAAACAATTTAAGATACCGAGGCCATTCCCAGGCTTCGTCTGAGTAAGATTCCTAAACTATTTTTGGGGAAAAACTGCTGAACTGCTGAAGGAGGACTTCTGACAAATTAACAAATTCCAGAAGACCAAATCCTTGAAAGCTTCAAGCTGGAGACTATCACTTTTTGTTCCCCCTTTTAATTATAAGCTTTTTCTTGTTTCAGTGGCAGAAGATCAGTTGTCGTTCACTCCTTTTTGTTGTTCATTTTTTTCTTGCTTCCCCCCC